ATAATTGCTCTAAAAATGTAAGTAAATAATTTTGTTCAAAGACGGGTACTAAAGTGAATTATATACCTCACTTAAGTAATCCAGCCATCTGATTGGTCGAAATTGCATTCATAAACTTCAACTGTTCCTGTGAAATTCTCGGTAACCATGCATAAAACATTTCAATATTTTTAATAACCATGGTTATTAAAAAAATAGTTCAGTCTCCATGGTTACCCCATAGGTTTACATGTTAAAAAATGGTTTGAGCGATGGAGGATACCATATGTGTGCGAAGAAATGGTCGCTACATTTTACCAATTTTGTAATACAACTAGCAGCTAACTCGCCCCACGAGACATCTCGCCCCAGCATCAAAGACTGGGTCGAAATGTTCCGACACGATTCATCGATCGAGAGATACCAATGTGTATATGTTTGTGCTCATTGTACATTTTAGACGATATGGCTGATATTTGTTCACATTCTTTCGTCCTGGCCGTTAATTAGCAGACTACTGGTATCTCTCGATCGATAAATCATGTCGGGATATCTCGCTGGGGCGAGATGTCCCGTGGGGCGAGTTAGCCCGACTCCCTTGTGAATTTGTATCATTGTTGTGCCAGTGATCGTGATCGAGTGCAGCGCAGACGACCGACTGTACTACTAGGCCAAAATGGCGGAATTAATAGAAACGCTCCCAAGATTTCAGCTTCTTGATGATGATCAAATGAGAGACTTGATTGATTCTGCTGACAGCAAGAACACGAAAAATTCCGTTAAATGCTCCATGAAAATATTCGAAGACTTCCTGCAAGTTATCAAGACAGACCTCGATAGCGTAAACAAGCTTTCAAATTCGGAGCTGGACAATGTACTGCAAAAGTTTTACGCTGGTGCCAGACGGAAGAACGGAAGTTATTACATGAAGAAGTCAATGTTAGCTATTAGATTCGGACTTCAGCGTCATTTTCTCAACTGTAATAAGATAGATATCATCAAGCATGAAGATTTTTCCAACTCGACGAGAGTTTTTAAGTGTTTTTCAGCAATGCTTAAACAGGAAGGAAAGGGAGTTGTAACTCACAAACCAGCTATCTCAGCAGAAGACATGGACAAAATCCAAGGTTCTCTTGATTTGGATGATCCTGTGGGTCTTCAGGACAAGGTATTTATGGATGTAATGTTGTACTTTTGCAATCGGGGTAGAGAGAATTTGCGTGAAATGACACTTGACAGCTTTGACATTTGTGATGAAGGGGGAAAATGCTCCATAACTCTGAAAGATACACTCACAAAAAACAACAGGGCAGATAAACTAGAGAAAAGCCAAGGTGGTGTCATGATTCCAACTAATGGTCCACGATGTCCTGTTGCCTCCTTCTTACGCTACAAAGATAAATTGAATCCACAATGTAAGAGTTTTTGGCAGAGACCGGCAAATGCACGTGCACAGGCCAAGCGTGAGTTCAAATCCAATCCATCTTCTTTTGATCAATGGTACTGTAATGCACCCCTAGGGAAAAACAGCATCGGAGACAAGATGAAAACAATTTCATCTCGTGCAGGTACCAAGGCTTACACCAACCATTGCCTTAGGGCAACCAGCATCAGTACCCTACAAAATGCTGGGTTCAGAGACAGAGAAATAATGAGTGTCTCCGGACACAAGGCGGAGACCAGTCTGAAACACTATGCTATGACCAGCAGTACAGCCAAAGAAAACATGAGTCATGCTATCGCGGCAGCCGTTGATCCGAAATCAGTACCATCCTCATGAAACATAGACCTAGGTCATGGTATCGCGGCAGCTGTTGATCCGAAATCAGTACCATCGTCATCAACATCTACTGGTGGTCAGCGTAGTGAAAGCCAGGAACTGCGGGAACTAAATGACATTTTCAATGAGATCACAAATAACCCAGAGAACTTCCCACGCACATGCAACATCACCACAAGTAGCCATGTAGCCACTAGTCAGCAGGTGCAAGCCCCCACGTATAATTTTCACAATTGTACGGTAAACATTTTGAACAAATAGAGTTATTTTCTACGGTTGAGTTATTTTCTACGGTTCTACGGTTGAGTTATTTTCTACGGTTCTACGGTTTATTTTCTACGGTTCTACGGTTGAGTATTTTCTACGGTTCTACAGTTGAGTTATTTTCTACGGAGTTCTGAGTTCCTGTTCTGAGTACCTGTTCTACCAGTTGATTGGTAAGTTGACTCTTCAGTATATAAAAGTATTAATGACTGCTTTGATATTCGAGAAATAGTTGTTTTTTATACGCTCTCGGGAAGGTTACAATTGTGCTATTGCCCTCGGCATGCCTCGGGCAATAGCACAATTGTAACCTTCCCTTGAGCGTATAAAAACAACTATTTCTCTCAAAAGCAGTCATTAATACTATACTATGTTCTGATATCAATAACTCCATTTTCATCAAAAGTGGATTTAGCTCCTTTTGGAATTAAGCTCTTCATATATAGGCCTAAATAATTCATAAAATAGTGTGTGGCAAAAATAGTCAAATGTGACTGATTGCCAAACAAAAACAAATCAAGAAGAAGAAGAAGAAGACGGCAGCGAGAGTTTAACACGGCTTGCAAGATTTTCAACATGGATGTCGATTTTGACCCATAATTTCCTTAAAAGGGACCATTAAACGGATTATTTCAATCAAGTTAGTAAGTGGAACCGATGTATTATAGCCTCTAGAGGCCTAATGTAAAATTGGATATGCACGAGGTAAAATGACATTTTGGGGGATTTTGGGGGCATAACAATACGGCCGTTGCAAGTTTGTTCATGTTTGTGGGAGGGGCCTAACGGCTAAAATCTAGCCGTGATATCTTCAACATAGGCTGGCGCTGGCATAGGCGATCGTTCTGTCTCTATAACCGGAGGTCTAGTGGAGCCAGACGTAGTCTCAGTGGAACAACCGACGGTATAGAGACTGAAGCTTTCGGTCTACCTGCGCCCACGCCCACAGCCGTCGCATCGGCCCGAGAGCTGGCAGCGCTCCGCACTTGCTGGGCCGAATCATCATAGCCGTCCGTCGTCTGGGATCACCTGCCAGTGTTTCTGAACAAAATTTTAGGAACCATCAACTAACCATTAGCTCAGTGTATTGCATTTTGGAAAGTTTCTTACCTAGTTTTCCCGGTTCTCACTTTTCGTGACCTTCCTTGGGTAGTCGAGCTGTCTTAACGAACGAATTTCAAGTCCAAAAATAAAAAAAAACAAGCTAGATCTAGATTTTGACATTACAATTTTTAGCTTTTCCCGCTTGACCAGGTTCCAACGTGAGATGGCGCATATGTGCTGTAATATTCGCGGGGATCCGAGTGTTTACCACTAGAGATCAGTGGTGTTCACACTAAGAAAAGATAATATTTTTGTTGTTGTTGGTAAATGTTTTATGGCGTTCATTCAGTATTGAATATATACGCCATAAATATCTTTGATTTTATAAGAAAATCAGTTATAGTCTTCATAAGAAAACTGAGAATAAAGATTTGTAATGAAATAATTAATTAATAAGAAAAAATAAGGCCTAAAAGGTAAAAGGGATACGCGGCCCCAAGGCACAAAGATTAAACAAGAGAAAGAGGGGGGGGGGGGGGGGAGGAAAGAGTGTGAGATATGGAGACAGGGTAGACTAAAACTAAAAAGAAGAGGGAGAGAAAATGAGAGAGAGAGAGAGAGAGAGAGAGAGAGAGATGCTAATGCCACCCAATTTTATTGTCAACCCGTGTCGTCGATGTGTTTATAAAAAAAGGATCGCAAGCTTTAATGTTGATATCTTTGAAATATCTTCTATTTTTTGAAAAGTTAAAAAATACAATTTGTGTCATTGTCCTTGAAATGAGAATATTAAAAACAAATTTCTTTTGATATTTGAGTTGCGTTGTATTAAAAAAAATCATTTAAAGGTCAACTTCAGGGGTGGCGGACCGTCTTCCAAAGATGGGCGGGGGGGGGGGGGGCACCAACAAAAAAGGGTACTTTTAGGAAGGTATCTACAAACTGTAGTCTTAAAAAATATACAATTGTATTTACTATCTAATCAAACCTAAAGCGACAGGTAAAAGGGGACACTTATCAATTGGCAGTGGAAAGGAAAATTATCAAAAGTAACAATGGGAACATAATATGAAAGGGTCGCCTTTTTGTTAACATCAGTAGTAAAAAGGGAGCATTTATAAAAAGGGGAAGGGGCTCAGAATTGGAAATGAAAAAAAAAGACACATATCAATTAAAGTAAAAGGGACACTTATCAGAGGTGAAAATGGGCATTTCTTAAACGTACAAAGGGGCACTCATTAGAGATCATAGATGAAAAGGGCACTTATATTTAGAAGAGAGAAAGAGGCACTTATTAAAAAGAAAAAGGGGCACTTAGGCCATTAAAAAAAATATACATGTTTAGCGTCTCCGCCCGCTTCCTTTTTGGGGGCCGCCTCCTATTTTTTTTATTTTTAAAATTTTTTTTTTTAAAAGAAAAAAACATGAAAAACACAGCTAAAATGGTTTTATTTCTGATTTTATAAAAAAATGTCGGCGGCCATCTTGAAAAATAGCCCGACTGTGAGGGAAAATGGACCGAGCGGCCATTTTGAAAGAATAAAAAAAAAAAAAAGGGCCTCCTCCTTCCTATTTTTCGAAAAAACAGGACGCTAAACATGTTTTTTTTTTTTATTTGGCCTTATCCGTGAGGTAAAAAGGAGCATACTTACCTTTGTAAAAGGGGGCAATTTGGGGCGCTTGAAAAGGTGTGTGTGTGGGTGGGGAGGGGTGTAAAGGAGGAATACAATTACAAGTTGAACATGCCAAGAGACAACTTAGCAGTGACTAAGAGGAGTTTTTACATAAAAGAAAGAAGAGAGAGAGAGAGAGAGAGAGAGAGAGAGAGAGAGAGAGAGAGAGAGAGAGAGAGAGAGAGAGAGAGAGAGGGAGAGAGAGCTAGAGACAGACAGAAGCGATATCACGATAATAACGATACTTTATCGGATCGTATTTTCCAGAAATTACAGATGACGAATGTCGTCGTCATTTTCTTTGTTCCGTGATATTTTGGTAACAAATATGGGTTTCTACATATACCATTGATACATATTGTAGAGTTAGATGCTCACAGAAGGTAATTCTGACATTTTTTTGTTTGTTTACTAATTCTAGTGTAAGAGATCTTTGACTTTCGGATGACAAACGCAGGCAAGTTGGTCGAACGTCGACGTGTGTTGTCTGTCCACGAATTCATGTTCCAGCCCCCCACAACTTCAGGCATAGGAATATGCACTTGCCTCAACACTACGAGCTACTGTACGCGCACTGGCATGCACTGCACTGAGCTGAACTTAACTGCACTGACAAATCTGATGCACGTCATCTGGTCATTGGTTGCAAACGGTGTTATTGATAAACATTCAAGTCAATATAGCTTTCAGAGTCTTTTAAATTTTTGAAGATAATGCTATTTGTCAATTTAAGTGATGTTATAAGCCCCCTTTTTCTGAATGATGGGATGAATGAGTGGTGACTATTGAACATTGAATTGATATTGATATTGAACAGATGAAGATGTTGTTGAGTCTTGACTTGTCTTGTCTCTTGAGACTTGTGACTTGTTGAAATATATCATTATATGGGCTATAATATTATTTTCATTATCTCATCATTTAGAATATAGACCCTGCAGGCTGCACCAATTAATATTTCATGAAGGTTAAAGGTAATACAAAGTTTTGGGAAATTTTGAAAATTGGGTGGATAGTGAATCATTACAATTTTGATATATTTGGATGCCCCTGTGGATGTATTATAAGCACTAAAAAAATTAGCCCCTAAAACGTTTCTGTTTTCGAGAAAAATTGAATATAAAAATTTACCGGTGCTCCCGGTAAATTTTGATGAATTTCAAATAGCGCCTATGGCCATTCAATGGTAGGTGCGACCATGAAAATCTCAGAATATGTAGTTTGGATATATAATTTCCAAACGGGAATAGCTAATCAGTCGATTTTAGTCAAGAAATATTGTTTCATAGCTAAATTAATATCTTGACCTTGAGAGGGAGCTATACAACATAAAGAGTTTATTATTTATAATTTCATAACTTAAGACTCGATTTAAACCGCGACAACGATCAATGTATAATGTCGGAACGCATATGCTTCCAATATGTTAATTTGAACCAAATTCATGACCCATACCAAAACTTTGTAATACCTTTAATGAAAAATAAAGAAAACTATCAACAGACTAGTGAGACTAGACTGTCACTACCGGTATTAGACCGAAAACTTCAGTCTCTCTAATCGTCGGTTGTTCCACTGAGACTACGTCTGGCTCCACTAGACCTCCGATTATAGAGACTGAAGGATGGGGACCTCTTACTGTGAGGGACTGTACAGAACAAATGGTTCGGTTCGACCGGACCGCGATGAATGAGATATGCAACGAAATTTTCACTCTTTACATCCTCAGAACTGCTGCAATTATAATAAAAATTAAAAATAACATATATATAGCTTATTTGACTTACGATAGCTTGCTCATTTAGATCCTAAATTAATGATTAATCCGAGAAAGTCTCGTCGACAACATTATCCGTCTTGGTTTTAGTTGATGAATATTCATTTTTTCTTTTCGAACGTCCAATAGCTACCGTAGCTACGTACGATTCGGCCCGGCTTGACCAACGAACTCCCACGAAACGAGTGCTCTGATTGGCCATTGGCGTAGGTTGACCCGGAAATATACCGCGGCCGCCGGGTCATATAGCTCTATTTTCAAGTGCATGAACGTAGTTTCACAGTTTGGAGATACAAATTGGATAATTCATATAAGTAAGTCCGTAAATTATACATTTAATATTAAGTTATCAAATTTTGATAACTGTAATTAGGACAAATGACATACGGACCTAATTTACATCTGATTTAGAAATCAGAAAATTAGATCTAAATAAAGAAAATCGGGGGAGAAATGTCGGTAACGAAAAGCTGTTACGCTGTGGCTCTAATTTACCCCCACGGTACGAGATCTCTGGGTTGCCATCTGTATTGGGGAATGACAACAAATGTCAGTTTTATTAAAGAAATGACCCAAATCAGATGGTTATTGCTGTCTATACCGGTATAGGCTATTCCAAGTTCAGGCGCGTAGCCAAGGGGGGGGGGGGCGGTGGGGGCGGTGGGGGCGGTCGCCCCCCCCCCCCCAAAAAAAAAAAAAAAAGAGAGAGAGAGAAAGAAGAAAGGAAGAGGACGTAGGAAGAAAAAGGATTAAGAGTCGAGAACGGTACAACGAATCGTCTTCTTTTTCTAATAATTTAATGAAACGTCAAGGCTTCGGCGCTTTGCGCGGGAGGGTGAGGGGAAAACTGCATTCAGATAAGGATTAAGAGTCGAGAACGGTACAACGACTCGTCTTCTTTCTCAAATAATTTAATGAAACGTCAAAGCTTTCGCACTTCGTGTGGGAGGGGGGGCAAACTGAAATCAAACAATGATTAAGAGTCGAGAATGGTACAAGGAATCGTCTTCTTTCGTAATAATTTAATGAAACGTCAGAACTTCCGCGCTATGTGCGGAGGAAGGGGAACTTGATTCAAACAAGGATTAAGAGTCGAGAACAGTACAACGAATCGTCTTCTAATAATAGAAACTGAATTTAGACAAGGATTAAGTGTCGAGAACGGTACAACGAATCGCCTTCTTTCTCTAGTAATCTAATGAAACATCAAAGCTTTCGCTCCCCCCTCTCCCCTCCCTGCACCCACCCCCCCTAGGGAGCGCGCTATGCGCGCTCTGTAAGTGATTTGCACGCTTCGCGTGCTCACTTCCGCCCTCCCTAAAATAAAATCTTGGCTACGCGCTTGTCCAAGTTTGAACCAATTTTTTTTTGTCCAGAAAACTATGGACTAACCGACTCATAATCGTACTATAGAGTCTACATGTTTGATGGGGTAACAAAAGTTTACTTCACGCACAAATTTTTAAATGTTAAAATATTTCAATATTGCTCCATCAACATCAAGCTGATTGACATCTCATTTTCTGCCAAATACTGTTTAATCAAATGTTCAACAAAAGTTACAAAACCAAAACAAATCAAAGAACAACAAATCTTGAGCCTTTACACGTACAAGAAAGCAGACATGGCCATGGGATAACTCAATAACTATTAATCATTTCCCAGAAATGGAAAAAAGGAGGATTGTTTAGTTCTGTAATTTGTAGACTATGGCCATTGAAAGATTCAGTACATGCTTTGTATTTGATTGAATGAAATCTGTTTTCAAACTCGCTCTCATATTAGGAGGTACAGTACATGTATGTAGCATCATTCGACCCTAGAAGTTTTTGAATCTTTTTTTTTTCATTTGTTATATTTGTATTCAATTTTGCTGTCATGTTGAAGATTCCCTCAACTTTTAAGTTTATACTTCATTAATTTTCTTGTACAGGTATTTAGAGATATGAGTGTGAGGTATTGTGAATGGATATTTGAAAGCGTGTTCACTCGTCACACAACATAACTCTTATTTTTATTTTAGCTACGAGGAAACAAGGTTGCACTGACAATAAAATACATGAAAGAAAGTATTCCCTTTTCGTTATGTTTATTGGGTACTGATGAGGCTGGCCGTACACTTGCAAAGTGTAGCCAAGCACAAGCCGAAGAATCGGAATGAAAATGCATAAATGGTAAATGTGAATATTGCACGGAGATTACATAATGATCAATGATGATAATGAACATGAATAAATGCAATGTACATAATGAAATGAATAGCGCTTACGACAGAGTGGAAATGAAATCGAAAGTCCAATGAAGAAGAAGAGAGATGAAAACGAAGGAAGGGGCTCACGCGATGAAATGTGCGGAGGCTTGATGGCGGAAACGCGACTTCGTTGACGTGGTTGAAGAACCGTGAAGAACGCGATGTCGTCGCCGACGCTCGTGATGATGATGAATGTAGATGGAGCTCTCGGGCGAGAATAGAAGAGAAGAGAAGAGATGTGTGGCGCTCGATGATGAAAGCAGTGAGTCGCTTGATGTCGGAGGCCAAAGTGGAAAATGCAGACATCAAAGCCGGTAGTGGTGCTGAGCAGTGAGTCGCTCGATTGATGAGCCGAACTTTGATGATGAATGTTTAGATGAGCTGCGGTGAGTCGAGCTCAAGTGAGTGAAAGACTACCGGTGAAGAAACTGGCAGCTCCCAGCGAATAACCAAGCACCATATATGTCGGAACTTGATTTAACTGTTCCACTGGAAGACTGCAGCCCAATGAACACGGCAGAGAAAGTGAAGATGTGCCGATAGAGGTGAAAGGCACGGTAGAATCAAACCCGGAGAAGAAATCATGCAGAAACGTGTTGACTCAACTGAGATGTAAGCAGGAGTTGTTGACTCGACCGAGGTGTAAGCGGGAGTAAAGAAAACCTCGTGGTGATGAAAATACGCGGGTGAACGATGCGCGGAACCACGATGCTCGATTGGAGGAAAAACACACGTGGTCCGAATAATGAATATAAATAAGTACCGTGATGGAAAAATACAGGAGACATGAATGTACGGTGAAAGTAGGGCGAATGTAAGAGCCGCTACAGGTACATGTACATGTACATGTAACTTCAAGCATCTTTTCTGAGCTTGAAACCTCATACATGTTCATGTAAGTATTTTTTGTACCTGTACTTGTACATACAACTAAATAGGCATATTTTTGTACATACATGTAGCTTTGGATTCCAATTTTCACCTGAAACTTGAATTATCATTAAAAATACTCTTTTCTTATTTGATTGTCAGGTGCGAAGTATGGATATCATTTCTTGGGCACTTCACAATGACCTAGAGTACATGTAGATCTACAATATGTGCTGAAGCTCCCTTTATTAAGAAGATATACCAATCCAGTATTATCAGAGTAAGCAGAGTGCATCAAGGGAAATCATCGCACAGATTGTGCAGGCCATCCTACTTAGTGGTTTGGTGAGTGGCTGTGTTGAAATCAATACGTGACTCCAGTCTTTGGACATGACTGCAGTAGAGTTTTGTGGCTTATACAGAATGTCTTCTTGTGACAGTGACAGCGAGGATAGGAGAGAGAAAGGATCGGGAGAGGAGGTCAGGCTAAATGTTTATGATATGGTAAGTAAACAACAAAGTGAAGGGGGGAAAAAAAGTTACCGGTATTCAGGTGTTAGAAACTTTAAATCTGATATTTTGGGGCAGGTGAAAAGGCATTAAACTTTTTAATTATTAAAGATGGTAGACATCAATTTTGATCATTTCTAGTATGGAAAGAATAATACATTACAATAGTTTTCCATTTGCCTTAATATGTTAAAAGTAAAATTAAAAACAATCTGAATGTTATTTTCATGGCTGACAACTGTCAGATGAATTTGCTTGATGTGATGTAGAGAACACTTGTACATGTACATGTACATGTACAGGTACATGTATATCGATGTCAGTGTGATACTCGATACATAGTACATGACCGAGTGTTTTGTCATAAATGTAACCTTATCTGTGCACTTTGGCACTTTGGACATTCACTGCAAGTTCTGTGCCAAGATCATTGTCCCAGTGAAAAGTTTTGAAATAAACTGTACATGAACTTGAAATGTCATAGACTCAGAGTAAAGAAAACATGAATTCTTTTTGTTAGATAGAATTGATGGAAATAGGATGATGTCCTAACAGGTTTATTGTTTTAAAACATGATTTCTTACTAATTTTTGCTTAGTTAAACTGTGCAGTGTACACCACTGCAAAAATCACGAATACATTTACATACATGCCTAACATAATACAATGTATAGTACTTTTATCAAAGCCTACATGTTTCCCCATGTTTTAATGCTTGAACTCATCTCAATTTTACCATCTGCATAATCTAGTTTAATACATGTGTACATGTAGCTATTTAAGAATGAATTTCTTTTAGAATAAGCATACATTATTACAGGATGGTGGTCGTAATGTGCTGATTCAGGGTTGGACGGGCTGGAGCAAAGATCTGGGCCCTGTTTCATAAAACTTGTTATCAATAACAAATGTTATGTCTATGGCAAATTTGCTCTCAGCCAATCAAATGCCACAATTTCAGTAGCTACATGTATTAACAGTTATTGTAACTTGTTACCAATAACAAGATATGATAGTATACCGGTACACTGTAACAGTAAGTTACTGAAAATACTAAAATCCTTAATACATTTGATTGGCAATAAATAAATATGAGCAGATTTTGTTATCAATTGATCCGTGGCAGTTGTTATTGAAAACATTAACAAGTTTTTGTAAAACAGAGCCCTTGTTTAATAGAAGAATAGGAAGAGTGTTGGAATGCACTAAAGAAAAGATGATTTGCGAAAGAGAAGAAAAAAAAATGAGATTAGAATGGCTTCACACAACTTTTTGAAGGCTCAAAGGCCAACTCCTGATGATGCAGGACGCCAATGTCTGATGCAGGGGTATTATTGCCATCCATATGGAAGCCTCTCATCTTTTTTTCATGCATGTTGGCTCAATTATTTATGATAGGATGGTCATAATGGGGCAATTAACCTTGTCCTCAAGATTAAAATGTATTCAGATAAAACAACATGTACATGTACATTACCTGCATGTACTGTTCTTGTATTGTACATATTCATTGATATTGATGTGCTGCACATGTACAAGAGCATGGGCCTACACTAAATACTAAAGCTACCATTGAGCTACATGTACACCCATCTTGTTTCATACATATTATAGTACTATAAGACCTTTTTTATTCTTAATATGAAAAGAAGAGAGTGGCCTTAATTTTTGATAATTTTCTTATTTATCCTGTAACAACAAACACAAAGAAAGAAACAATTTCACACAGCATTACAGTAAAACAAGGGGGGGGGGGGAGTGGGTCTACTCGTACACAGACGTACTAGATATTGTATACATGTACTTCTATACACCACTACACTCACACAAATATGCTGAAATGTACCAGCATGGTTCAAATGATTGATTGAGCAACTATTACTTTACAGAGAGGATCACAGAGAGGATCAAATTGGGTCAAATATTCATTTTGTGTTGTGAAGACTTAAAATGCAGTATGTAAACTTGTGCAGTATCCATGTACATACAAAATGACTTATAATGCACTATATACCTGGAGACATTTTATTCTAAGTGTCCATGTTCCCTTTCTCCCGTTTTCTTCATTCTTCTTTCCTAACCTTTCTCTTTCCTGTCCTATCATGTTGGATTCTGGGTTTTCATTGTACAAAATGCAGTTTCTTCCAAAATTCTGTTTGATATACTTTACTTGATATATGTTTCGAGCCATTTATGTTTACCAAATCCTATTTTATCAGGGAAGCTGTCTTGACAAAACCTTGTTTTTTTTTTGTTTTTTGTTTTTGTTTTTTTTGTTTTTGTTTTTTTACAGCTGTGCCCAATTTAGTTTTGTCATCATTAAAGTATATTTACATGTATTATTGTATATCATTCAGATCTATTCAATGTATGAAATTTCATTTTTTTAATTGATGAATTTGTATACAAATGTTTTATAGAAAGATGGAATCTAAATAAAATGAATTGAATTTGATATGTCCTTGTAAGATATTCTTATTACAATCAGAATAACATTAACATTATAACCGGAACCCACCCCCTTCCAAAATGAGACAAAAGAAATGATACTGTTCATGTACATGTAGATAGTCTATTCTGGAAATGTAAGTACTAATAATTTGTTCATACATGTACGGTATAAAATACATTTCTTGAACTGGCCTGCCACTTCTTTTCTTGTTTCTATTGCAGTATTGGACTAATGAATATACAACAACACTAGGATTAGGTGTATATCACACTGGAATTCAAGTTTATGGGAAAGGTAGGTACAATTTTACACATTTGAAAATTAAAATAACCATTTCCCTGTTTTTGCATGTAATGTACAGGGTAGAAAATTGTGAGATGTGGATATTTTGAAATGAACTTGTATTGTAATGACCTTAATTGTAGCAGTACAGCTGTCTATAATTATGTATCATTTTGAAGTTTTATCATGCAGATAATCTTCTGATGTCCTCCTTTCTCTCTCTGGAGATCTATGCATTTTTAATGAAGAGAATCAAGAGTAGGATTGCAAAACAGGAGACATGTAGATTTTATCTTCGTATGGAGGGTTGAAAGAAATGCTGCACATTGAATAATTGATTTGAAATTTATTTCTTTTTTTCCACTGCTGTTGTGCAGTTTTGAATTGTGGTGTATACTGTATGTGCTGAAGATGCTGAAAGTGATTGTACTCATTACTTTGTTTTTGCAACGTCTTGTTAGAACCGTCATCTAAGATTTCTTCTCGTACAACGTGTAACTATTTTTAGGGTTAACTGTACAATGTTTATTGCCCCAAGGGTAATATCAGAAACAGCACTGCTGGTACATGTATGCAAGTTGAGAGGCTTAATTCTGTAATAGATTCAGAGTCTTTTCAACAACCATCGTCTGAAATATACATGTAGGAGCACAGCATTCAGTACTAGTTATAATAGAGATGTAATTGATCCTTATTTCCCTAGAAACACAATTTGTCAAAAATGTACCAGTGGAAAGGCTTTGAATTTGTCTGATAGATAGATGTTTGATAGATCGTGTATCTGTAATTCTTATCTGCCCATCATCTTTAATGCACAAGAAAAGACTCACATAATACAGTACCGTAATTAACAGTGTATAAACCGCACCTTTTTGCCGACGAAAAAAAATTCAAAGTCGGGGGTGCGGTTTATACACGGTACACCAAATAAAAAAAAATAAATAAAAAAAAGTTTTGATTTATGCTTCTCCATCTGGCGCTATGCTTGGCAATGTCTCCCAGCTCAGTAATCGTTGTGTTGACTCACCACTAGGAAACTAGAACAACACTCAAATTTGTCTGTCATCTTGGTTTGAAAGTAATCTTTCTGATAGATCTCAATATGTAGTTTATAATAATAATTCCTACACACGTTGTACCACAAGGTGCTATTCTAGGTCCTCTACAGTTTTTTTAATTTACATTAATGATCTTACACATTCAGCTGCACCTCGCAGTTAAATGAAAGGCCTTCCCGCGTGGTTTTTTTTAACACGGACAAAAAAAAAAAAATTAAGGGCGAAAAAGAGGGGTGCGGTTGATACACAAGGGCGGTTTATACAACGTTAATTATGGTATGTACCGAAACATGTCAATTCCTGGCATACATGTTCATATGCCATTTATACATTGTTGTATGATGTACCATGTACATGAAATCTCAAATAGTCAAAACTACAGTGAGTGTACTTGCCTGCATATTTAATCAAACAAATGCATTTAAGATCAAATTGTGGGGGGGGGGGGGGTGGAATAATGAACCAGTACAGTACTACATTTATTTTGTGTCGAGATGTACATGTACATGTACATGTACAAACTGTATATGCACATTATATGATATGAAATCTGATCAGAAAAGTACATATCTATACAATATGTACAGGTACTCCTTCTTCCCTTTAAGATTTGTTTTTTGTACGCCACTTTCACTACCCTTTGACCTGTTTATAATCCATGATGGTCCCAGCTTACCCCAATTTTGGCCCTGATCAATATTTAATGGTTTGCTCTCTGTCTGCTCTCAGTTACCATCCACATAAAGATCTGCAAAATTGATTGCTTGCTGTGCAGTCTGGGGATATTAATTTGGGGGAGATGGATGGAGGAATAATGCAGACTATTTTCTCCATCGGGAGAGTCGTGCGAGCAATCAAGGCTATTTCGTCTCTTGGGTATGTTTTTGAGGGAGGATGGAGTAAGGAGTTAAAAGACAGCATTGATCAGTGAAAATGTCATGTACATGTAGGTGTTAACGCTGATGTGACCTTTCAAATAAAAAATGATCAATGCGTCATATTTGAATTAGACTGGTATGAAATCTTATAATTGAACTACTGCTTAAAGGGAAATCCAACCTTATTATCAAACTGCTCTAAAAGGATGGAGAGAAAGTATACTGGTGAAAGTTTGAATGAAATCTGACAAAAAATGAGAAGGACAGAAGGTTATGAGTTTTTGGAAGTTGCAATTACTATAGGTATGGGCTCTTCAAATAAGCTGAATCAGTAATGTCGCTGTGATGTAGTGGCAGACAACTTTCCTATGTGTTCCAACACACAAAATGACTAAAAACGTGTGCGACTTTGGATGTTTTTTTCTTTTTAGAGGACTTGTTATGATATGCATGTACATCATACACTCCATATTTTGAGTAGTGCCCTATTAGGGTGAAAGCACTTAGCAGAAAACCAAAAAATAGTGATACTTTTGTACACAAAAAACAGGAGAGTTATCTGCCACTAAGCCACAATCCACTGACAAAATTGCTAATTTGAGATTCGCATACCTTAGCTGTCATGATCTCATGTTTCAAGCATTCATAATTTTCTTATTATTGGTCAGATTTATTTCAAACTTTCACCATTTCTGTATCTCTGATTTTTCTGCTTTCATTCAAACTAAATTATTATAAGGGTTGGTTTGCCCTTTAAAACCACAAATCTTCACTTTGTATAAAAACCTTACACAGCCTTTAGACAGAATAAGAATACTGTACATACATGTACACCCTGTACTGAACACATACATGTACGGTAGTTATTGAAGGAATTATACAATGTGTAGGAGTCAGATAGATCAAAAAGGCTAATGGAGAAGATAAGTAGTAGTTGGTAGGACATAAAATATATGTTGATTTGGGTATGGTAAAAAGAATTGGTAAAATTGCCAAAATTGCCAAAGCATCTTGATACAATTGTACCTACAGTACATACATGTACATGTACTGAATAATGAGGGAAAAGCTACTGTTCACTAGTGCTCAGCATACACAGGTAGGCATTAAAGAGTGATGAATTATCAAAGAGATGAAGACGTACATGTACACTGTGTGTTTGCAACTGGCTTCATTCTGGTGTTTAGTTATTATCAAGTTGAAGATACTAATAATAATATTGGGTTCTTGTATAGCTTAATTTTTTATTGAGACTCAAGGCACTCCTGATTGATACCTTTGAAAATATTTCTCAGGCTTTAATACTGGCACACACTTCAATGACTTCATGCTCATTAACTCAACTCAAGAGTCAAGTCTCATGAATACATATTGACTTAAAACGATGGATTTACAAACTCATGCAGAACGAGCTTGTACTGTACAAATCTTTCACATGCCATTAGAGTCTGAGCTACATGGAAGTCTATTACGTAAATACAAATGCATTTTATAATTAACCTTCACTTAATGTCTCCTACATGTATGCAAGAAAAAGTGTAATTCAATACATCGGTTAATCTTATGGGTTTAGATTTCGGTATGCTTTTCATTTACAGCATCAAACTAATTAATTTTGCCTGTGGTTAAAACAAATGACCTTAATACCCCTCCCCCATACAATTATTTAGAAATTATATTGGGTGTGTGTTATTCATACATATAGGTCCTAATGTACATGTACAATGTACAGTAGGTTGATCTTTGCCAGTGATTCATGTACTAACACTGTACATATCTCTTCATTTCTTTGAAATTCTTTCATAACAATGCAGTATATTTATCTTTTAGTGTTGTGTTTGAAATGTAGATAATCACCCAAATTATGCATCAATTTTAATGTATTTTATTCTTGAATCAAATGCTTGCACAGTCCAACCATGATCATTGTACCGCCTGCAGATACAGCTCTATTTGTATTTTGTTCTTAACACCAAACAAAAAAATATCCATTTCATGATTTAGACATTTTTTTTGGATTAAAAAAAAAAAAAAAAAAAAAAAACCCATTGATACTAGAACTTGTATTATGTTTGCCTGTGCAGTTGTATGTCTCCTATATATTCTCAAATTTGTGTCTGTTATGACAGTCCTACCCTGTACAAGTGCAACGTTCAGAAGTCCTATAAGCCTTATTGTGAAATTTCACCCTCTAATGTTCATGTATATTCCAGCCTAGGGAATTAGGAGTGTATGAATAATAAAGCCTTCCTAGCAGGCCGCAATCCCTCATCTCTCTCCTCAGGGTTGTGACATTCACAGGCAAGCAAACAGGCATCCAGTCACCTGATGTCCTGCAGCTTTTATGCCAGAGTATAGGGCATGTTTCCTCTTTGGAATTGGAATCCCATTCAGACGAGTACAATTTGTTGTCTAGCTGTACGAAAATCATAAAACCTCGTATAGCTACACGTCAATGACCCTATCCGATGAAAATACAACTTGATATAAATGGAAAACTGAATGAATGTAGAATACAAATATATTGTAATAAAAAGTATTTACCCTTTCATTATTGCCCCAAAGCAAATTAAAACCTTGTTTTTCGCACCCCTCCAAATTATGGGTCAACAGGGGTCAAATTTGCTGAAGTTATATTGAAGACATAGCATGTGGATGAGGCGCAGAGCCGTGCTTAATTAATGCAAAGTCATTGTGAATATAAAGATGATGTCATCAAGTCGATAGCAAGTTTTTAGGTCGACAACTTCTGATTTTCAAAGCTTTGGATTTTGACAGACACTATGGTTGATATTATTGTATACACCTGTATAAGCTTTCCGTTGATACACAATTCATCCATTTCATATTTGCAGTTCGGATATGGTCTTTAAGTAGTAAAATTTTTCAACCCTGAACAAGGCACCTACAACAAAATATTGTACAGCAATATGGAGGTGTGACAAACAATAAGTTGATGAAAAACAGGGTCCCTTTCCCGCATAAATATCACATTGAACGAAACGGTACAATATGGTCAGCTATCACTCATGTGGTTTGCGCAAGCTGTTATTTTGTACCCTCAAACCATAGATACACAAACAACTGATTAATGAATTCATATTTTGTATGTAGACCTACTACAAAAAGACTGGATTTCTTTCTAAGCCGGTTTAGGCCTACCGTACTATAAAGGCTGGGTGATTTTCCTCTTATCACACACTCTTGACTTTATGCCCCTTTCATATCAAGGAAAACCCTGGCATTTTGAAAGGGCAAGGCCATAAAGTCAAGATCAATGACAAAATATAGCTTTATTTTGTTTATTGTTCAAGGGCAAGGCCTTTTTTTAAGGAGGAGGTACACATATATGTATCTCCTCTATATACTTGAACCTCGGCCAAACATGAAGACAACACTATGAACATGACTGACAAAGAAAGCGGACAAAATATACAGTTCCTCAAGTAGATAAAGGAACATCCCTTCAATGCTATTATGTGAAAAGGTGAATATGCATGTGACACCTGTTCTACACATTTTTACATAATAGCAGTGAAGGGATGTTCCTTTGTCTACCTGAAGAACTGTATATTTTTTCCGCTTTCTTTTGTCAGTCATATTCATAGTGCAAGTACCTTTTGTAAAAAGTCGGATTCACTGTGTATACAGTGTATATTTAATTTTGACGGAAATAATAATTTATTCTCTAGCCGCTCATTATATATTCAGTTACAGAAAGTTAAATTCTACCAGCTTATTTGCAGGAAAGATCCAGCGTTGGATTATGGTAATGAAACAAAGCAATTGTACTTGAATTGTATTCTTGTATTACCTGTGCATTTGCTGATCACAGAGTATACAGTACATGTATGGAGGGCCTTCAGCCCTTCACTGTGAAATTCCACATTTACTATGAGACAGTGTACTGTGTATACAACTGTATGTGTAAGCCTAGTAATAAAGACCGTGTTTATATCTTGTACATGTAAAACTGCCATCTTAGTTGAGATGCATCTAAAGATTCTTTATAGACTGCTTGATGATCTGATGGCATGATCTTGAAGACTGGCCATGACTTTGGCTCCCTTCCCCCATGGATTCCATTACTTACATGTATGTATGCCTATGAATGATATAATGCCATACTATACCCACCATCTACTGTAACACCTTTGCAACATCATACTGCTTGGATGCATGATCATCAGGATTAACTGTACTGGAATCTCTAATGCTCATTCAGACTACTAAAACTACATTGTATAGCTACATGTAGTTAGCTACATACATGTACATGTTACTGTAAACAAAAACTGTGTAGCTACAGTATATAATAAGCCATTTTGTTTCCTAGTCTAAATGTTTTACAGCAAAAACGTGTAATGAAACGTTAAACTAAACATCATATACATGTAGTAATACGCTTTGATCATATAAAGGCAGGGCTTATCGTGAGCATGTACTGATGATTGGCCAGTTGTCATGTCAACTGACCTCTTTAAAGAAAATTCTTTGCATGTTTATATGTCCTTATGATATGATATGATATTCTTTTCACATGTGTATGCCTGCTGTATTCTTTGGAAAAAACAGGGCTAAGAATCATGATTGGCCAGTTGTTGTAATGTCAATTGACCTCTTTCAAAAATAATTTATTTTCATGTGACGTGTCTTTATGATATGATACTCTTATTTATTTATTTTATTTTTATTTATTAGTCATTTTTTTTTTAGTAGGGTGGCTCCATCAGTAGTTAAATACTGTTTTCAGTGGAGGCCCTACAACATAAATACAAAATTTACAAACATATTGATGTAAACAATCCAAATCGAGACAAAATAGATTCAGTTACAACATTTTCCAACTCTTTTCATGTGTTTATGCCCCTTTTGCCGTACAATGATGCTCTAATGCTCTATGTAAGTTTTGTATAAATGGCCTCTAGTCTGAACGAGCTACATGGATAAGGGCTATAGCTGTCAGTGATGTGAGATGTGGACCGTTTAATTACATACACTCTGTTAATTCCCTTGTGAATATGATGCCCCAGCCACTAGCCTATTAATTGTATACCATTTGAGAGGCGCTTTCCTCAAGGACTAATAGCTTATTTAGGTCTACAAGGTAACATGTATTTACATGTTAAATGTACATACTTTTAGTATGGCTAAGTGTGCAAAGAAACCTGTCAATTTGAATGCTGTGATACAAAGTACACTGTATGTATCTCCTCACAGTATACATGTACATTGTACATGTAGGTGCACTATTTCTTTGTATACAATATAAGCCTACTGACAATGTGTATAACATGTATTCTACAACATTTTATTTGTATACTCAATAAATAAATAAATAAAATTGATTGCTGATTTTTCCATTTAAAAAAAAATAATTGTCAATCAATTTCCAACTTCAGTTTTTACAGAAAGTACTTAATGAAAAAAAAGGTATACATGTAAGTACAGTTTCATAATGACCTGCTCAGATTCCTATGGTATCAAAAGAGACAAGAAATTATTTGTATATTGACAGTTTTTTTCTCTTTCAATTCACAGTTTAAAAAAAGTATATATAGAAGTAGAACTAATGTAAATAACATGTATCTGAATATTGTCTTTCTTTATGGATTCAGATATCAATACAATAATTTGATTTTTTGTTAAGTTATTATTTAAATCCTCTTCCAATCTTTTTTTCTTTCTTGGTACAGAGTATGCTTACGGAGGACACCCTTTCCCGTTCACTGGAATATTTGAGATAGAACCCAGAGATGTCACAGATTTAGGAGAACAATTTAGTTTTAAGTAAGATCTTTTTGTTTGAATTCACATATGATTTGAGTGTCGAAATATAAAGTTAAAAAAAGGTGGCATTACAATCCAACTAATCTCTAACGTTAAAGTAAGAATGAAATAAATGATTATACACATATAAAGTATGTCGAATGTCCTATTTGTATGATACTTAAAAACACCATGTTTTGAATAAATTGCTAATTCATATGTATTGTTAAATCAAGAGAACATTTTTTGAAAAGAATGATTTTAAAAAATGGAGAAAAAATAAAATAAAGTAAGAATGAAATAATTGATTATACATATATGTCCTATTTGTATGATACTTAAAACACCATGTTTTGAATAAATTGCTAATTCATTTGATTTGTTAAATGTTAGCTTCTTTGGGAAAAAGTATTTTTTAAACACTAGAAAAATAAATGATCAATATATGGTAAAAATGTACATCCTTGAAATACATGTACATCCTGTACGTGTACCATGGAGAGTAATCTGTTAACAGCTGAAAAAAGGGCCAGACTGCTGTAAGACGATACACAGTGTAATGAGTCTATTAACATTAAGTATACAAGTAGATCTGTTAGGTCATAATATTTGTATTATTTCTCTACCACCAGACAATAATAGCAGAATAAGAAATATTTACTCTGGCAGTTGACAAGTTTGTGCAAGCTGGAGAACATAGGCTTCACAGCAGGTAGTAATAGACAGGATAAATTTGCCAGTTCTGTATTACGTTTCCAGATGTGTACATGTACATTGTATATTGATGAAGATTTCAGTGCTATTGCAACCAAAATGCACCTTGGATCGTAAGTATAGACTACTGTTAGCAAGCTATCATTGCTGGAAATGAGAAAATGAAATTGCAAGTGTATTAAATTGCAATTAAACTCTGATCAAAGTTATATTGAAGAATAAAATTGTTCATAGGAATGACATTGTAAGGTATTGGCTTTAGAATGTCAATTTTAATTTGGAAAATTACATTTATCTATCCATAATTTACGCTCCATATAATTTTGTTACACTCATAAGTGGTCTGGATTGAAAATCATAAGGTTAATATGCATGACCCCCTTGGCCTTGTTAATATTTTAAATATGAGGGTGGGGGTAACCTACATATAGGTGCCTGTTAAGCATGAGCCATGCCATAATACTCATTCAGCAGCTGTATTGACATGATTTCTTTTCATATGATTGACAGGGAAACGATAGTTCTAGGCCAGACTGACCTCACAGAGGAAGACGTAGTGAAAGTAGTAGACTGCCTTGGAAAGAAGTATCCCGGTGAAGCATATCATCTCATTCACAAGAACTGCAATCATTTCACACAGGAACTAGTACAAGTAAGCAGCTCAAAAGCTTTCTAATGGTATCCTCTACAGTCATTTAAAGATAAGAAATGGAAATCCAACTTAAAAAAATAGAAGTTTAACATTAAATTCTTTCCCCATCACTAAAATTAAGACCATCAGAAAGTGTAACTTCTTTGCTTTCCCATAATACATTAGTTTGGTTGTATTTCCAGGATCATGCGCCACTGAAAACCATTGTCTGTAGAATTTTGTGCAGAAATTCCATTTGGTTCACTTGCAAAAAGCCCATTCGGTATGGTGTCAGGGTAACGACTTTGTCAACCGGCTTAATTGCTTCTTCTAGCTATCAGTTGTTAATTAGATCTCGCCCTGTTCGAGTTTAAGCCTTAGCGAGACAAAGCGTTCCCTTCATTAAAAGGATTACAAAGTGGCCTCCCAATACGTGGGTGGATAATTATTGTTTGGTGTCTCATTATCACAAAGTGTTAAATATTCAACGATAAATCGCTAAATAAGGTATCATCTAAAAGCACCTAGGGTACTCACATGAACATTACTCCTGCCTCAATGGCTGAAGTGGACCTACATGTTAAAGTGTAAAGGTTTGAAGCTGTGCCACAGGATACATAAATATATATATTTTGAAATACAGCACCTTTGCATTCAAAGGGGTCCAGATTGAGCTGTCCTTATACATGAGTGCTATGTGAAAACTTCAAAATCCTGGGGGTCCAGACTTAGATTTTGGTCCCGGGCACCTGGTAGTTTTGGTTTTATCCCTGCTCATTGGAAGGATTTGGGGAATTTTTAAGAATTTGAGAAATGAAACAAGGCATAAGTACGGTACTAGTCACCATCGCATAGTTTTAAATGATGGAGAGGGAATTTCCCTATTTCATATCCATTTCATTGAAACAAAATATTTTCCACTGGTAGGCTTTGGGAAATTTTGAAGAGTTTGAGAAATGAAACGAGGCATAAATCCTGTTTTGATATTAGCCACCATCACATCCTTCTAATAACATAGTTTTAAATGATAGAAAGGGAATTTCCCTATTTCATTGTAACAAAATGTTTTGGCACAACATGTTTAGTCTATAACTAGCTCATTTTTCTTATAAAGCCTTTAACAATCTTATCTGAAGGTATCAGGTTTTATATGTACAGCTGCAGTATTCTTTCGACACAATATCTGCTAAGAGCAAGAACGGCATTGACTATTTGTTGAATCATATGAGTTAACATCCATCTGGCTTCCAGTGGGCAATGTGTTTGTTTCAGACATCATAAATTTTGATCTCTGATTGGATTGATACCCTTCTACCCCTAGATACTCTGTGCCAAGGAGATACCATCGTGGATCAACCGATTGGCTGCCGTAGGAGCCCGCCTACCCTTCATGGAGCGCATGCTACCCAAGGAGTGGCTAACCCCACTAGCCCTGGTAGAGAACAACTCGGTCAAGGAGCCCGAACCCTCAAGAACACCCAGTGACTCAGAAACGGGCAGCAAGTCATCATTGTTATGACAACCCTGATATCACCTCAAGGGAATGTTTTATATACAGAGTGCCACAAGGATGGGATGTGTACTTGCTTTTTATTGTGACTTTATATTAAAGGAAAGATGACAGAGAGGATCACTCCATGGAGCATATTTTCTTGAAAGCATACTGTTGATCCATCATTTCCTTTTTCAGACATATTCTCTTATTTATATGAATGTATGCAGATTTTGATAGGATAGTTGAACCTTGCCTAAACTCTCATGAAAATCTAAACTGCTGTAATACAACTAGACTAGAGTCCAAAAAATTCACTGACCAAGTTAATAGCAATCAAAAACCCATTTCCGATGTCGAAATGAGAGTAACGTGCCGGGTGCCAGTCAAAATGGCAGTTTGAAATATGGGACTGATTGAAATTCTCTTACGTTGAAAGGCAATATTAAAGGTATTACAAAGTTTTGGGAAATTTTGAAAAATGGGTGGATAGTAATTCTTTACAATTTTGATATATTTGGATGCCCCTGTGGATGTATTAAAAACACCAGAAATTTTAGCCCCTAAAACACTTCTACTTTCGAGAAAAATTGAATATAAAGATTTACCGGTGCTCCCGGTAAATTTTGATAAATTTCAAATAGCTCCTACGGCCGTTCAATGGTAGCTGCGACCATGAAAATCTCAGAGTATGTAGTTGGGGTATAAAATTTCCGAACGAGAACAGCTAATCAGTCAATTTTAGTCAATAAATATTGTTTTATAGCTTAATTAATATCTTGACCTTGAGAGGGAGCTATTCAACATTAAGAGTTTATTATTTACAATTTTATAACTTTAGAGTCGATTTCGACCGCGACAACGATCACTGAATATTGTAGGATCGTATATGCTTCCAATATGTTCATTTGAACCAAATTCATGACCCCATACCAAAACTTTGTATTACCTTTAAGCAAATAAAAAAAAAGTGAAAATATTTTTTTGGGATTACATGTAGCAAGATGTATGAAAATGAATATGCAAGACATTCTTTTTTTAAATTAGGTCTACCGGTAGATGTTTTAATTGTGTCATTTTTATTGAACCACAAATCTTTTGCTTTTAACCAGGCAGTACGATAACCATGATATTACAGTTCCTCTCAATATTTATCATGCTTTGATTTGATCAACTCTTTTCTTTTCTTTTCTTTTCCAACATTTATTGGTAGATTTTCCTACCTGTTTGTAGGATGGAAAGACAGAACAAGCTTGCAGCACTGTGCCTTCTCAGATAGTATCTGCTAATATTTAACAAATACTATTAGCATGTGGTCATTCATTCTAATAGTGATAGCTTAGGCTTTAGATAATGATACCATTCAGCAGAGGTGGATTGCCATAATGTAGGATGTCAAATGAGCAAGTAGATCAACTTTGTGGCACTCTGGCCAAATTTTACTAGCTCTTTTATGAACTTACCGTGTTGAATATACAAGATAGATATCTATTTTTGTGTGCTTACACTTGTAAAAAGCTAATTATATAACAAAGTAAATTGTTTACAAAATATATGTATATATATTTATGGAGGTAGAGTTGGATCATTGTCTGCATAATTTATTCTAATAGAGGTTGAAGTAATAATTATCCTGGTAGAATGTAGATGATTAGATGTATATATTTGCATTGTTCCTATGGGTATCAAGTATTAAGGAACATGCGGACTGTGCCTTTTGGACTTTATAGAAACTTCAGAAAGGTAGAAGGATATTTCTTATATGAGGGAAAGAGAGTGACTTTATTTCCTAGCTCGAATAAGATTGCTTTAAACATGTAGGTCAAGCTCATACGATTGTTGATTATTCTTTTGAGAGGGTATATGACTAGCTGCAACCACTCCTTGGCATGGAAACACCTCTGTCAAAACATAGTCAGCCTTATTGTCTCCCTAAAGATGCATCTTGAATGAACTGTAAGCCTTCATACCATCCATAGGTTAAGAGCTCTTGGAAAAAATGACAAGTACATGTAGCACATTTGGAAGGACTAAACCCCCATAAATGCAGAAGATGAATATTTTCTTCAAAAGATGTAATCTCTCCCTGTTTTCAGTGAAACAGGTTGTGCGTTGAACCACAGTTAAACAAATTTTGAATTGAATTTCGGAGAGAGTGAGATATATTTCCTTTGCATTTGGGGAAAGAGAATTGTTTGAAAGACAAACTCTTGTTTTTATCTTTTGCCACGGAATACAAGTAGGCAAACCCCATTTTACTGATGTCGAAAATTATTTTCAATGGAAGACAATGTCAAGGTGTTCTCTCTGGAGACAAACACCATGGCCCAAATTCACAAAGGAGTTTTGTTGACAAACCTCCTTTGTTGATTATTATTTTGAGAGGATATATGACTAACTGCAACCACTGGTTGGCGTGGAAACACCTCTTTTACATCATGTGAAATCATGTAAAATCGGGCCAATGACTGTATGAACATGACCATAGTAGTTGGAATGTGATGACAAGGATTGCTCAGGAATTAGGTCAAAAGAGAGATGATAAAGAACATCAAAGTAGCATTCTATGTATCCACAATGCTCAGTAAATGGCGTGAAGGTAACAAAAAAAAACCTGTTTTGGCAAGGTATCGCAGTATCTGAGGCGAGCTTTGCTACGAAAATGAAATATGTTGGGTATATTGGGCGATTTTTCTAGCATGTTACTCTGATGCTTGAGAAAGTGGCTTTGGCAAAGAAAGATTGAGCGCATGAAACTTACTTGTTTGGTTATATATTTCCATACCAGTGATTCATTGTGTACTTAAGTTTGCTTATATCGCTACATAAAACATTGAACTTTTATACCTTGCTTTTAGTGTATGCAGTATTTAACTGTATCCATAACAAATGATGCAAACACATTAGTAGGAAATGAAAGAAATAGACGGGAATTGCAATATCTTGTCAGATCTGATGTTACAGACAGATGACATACCAACCGAAAGGTCGAAAATGAATTCACATTTGTTTCTTTTCGTCGTTAAGTCTTTAAAAAATTATTCTGAGCTTTGCCATCAAATACTGCCAGGAAGCCTTACATACAAACAAATACCCATCTGTAGATGTATTCCAGTATGCAGGCACTTTAACAGTTTGGAAATATGTTTTTTCTTTCATTTTCACATTAACAGTGGGGCAAATATTGTAAAAGCACAAAAGAGATCAAGAGAAGCAACAAAATATCATGTGCACAGTGCACATCATTACATCTATAGTGTGCACATATATATACACCATCGTACAAACTTAGGATATTCAAGCTTTCACACCTTTTGAAAAAAAATATTATTGGCTACAAGGTTGATTAAAGAAGACAAAAATGTATTTATCCGGAGAAAAAAACGAGACGTTTGAAAGAAATCCTTTTACAACTTGCTTGCACAACAAATTTAAATTGTAGAGTATGTTGCCTTGTGAATAATGTAAGACCTCCATGTACATCATTATTATTCTGTTTCTATACCAGTACACCATTGATTTTATTTTATTTGGTTTATTCACTGCTCATTTGGTCATTTATTTGGTGCTTATAATGCTTGAAAATACTAGTTCAATGCAAAACAAGGTCAAACTAGATACAAGGTACATGTTTATCATAGGTATGCTGATGAACAAATGAGATTTAAATCTCTTGGGGGAAAAAACCCCAACAAATAAACAAGATGTAGCTTGATACAGCTGCATAGCAAAGACACAGTGTATATTCATGCAAGGTTGTCTAATATTTGGTGTAAAGATATACACAACTATAGACTCAGTATACTGGTCATTGATTTTTCACACTATTTCATTCACAGGTTTGTAGATCTGTGTGCTGCATCATGGGTGCTTTCTCACTGTCGCCTTATTGAGTTCACTTTTCAAAATTATGTAGAAAACTCAAAGATCAAGCATTGTCAGGCTAATGCAATGCTGCTTGAAAGTCTAACAGATTTGTCCGTGGCCCAGGTCTTGAATTAGTAAATTATGCACCTTGAAATTTAGAATTCTATCAGGGCTATTAGTTATTAATGTACCGGTCGTCTGTTGTATTATCAGGGTACATGTGGAAACTAATCCACTACGTTGCTAATACTACCCAATCTTAAAATTTGTAGTTTCCTTCCTACATGTGTAGCTAATTGTCCTGGAGAGTGTGAACACATTCTCCCTTCCTTTAATAGTCCTGGCTACTATGCTTCAGACTGTGAACACATCCTTCCTTTGTCTCGCTCTATCACACCTTCGTTTCCTTTTCCTGTGTGAACTCAGACAAGGACATTGATTTATCCAGTTCTTATTGCCATGGTGACACACCTCCGGTACATGAAGGGGTTTATACATTTATTCAAGCACAGAAAGTAAATAACATATACGGTACTCATATATATATCTTTTTATAAATATTTTAATTCAAGTGCCCAGTCTATATTTACAAGATGGTTGCCTAAAATAAAAATATCTAGTTGTAACAGGAGAACAAGAACAACAACAAATATGGAATGTTATATTTAAAATGACATGCATTTATGTGTTCATTTGCACCAATTTGCACCATCCATGCCAAATTAAGCCCATCAATCTATTATTACAAGGTTTTGGGTCAAGTTATTGTAATTTATTTATTTAGTGGAATCAGTATTTCTATCTAATCTGTGTGAAAGTAATGGTGCATATTTTTATTGAAGTAGATTTTTGTGAAAGATGATGTGTGAGAGTATCATTTTATTGGATACCCTTCATAAAACTGATAAGAAGCCAACAACGGTTTCATCTCTTGATAGATATATAAACAATATAATCTTGCATTTGGTGAATTGCAGATCGAGAGAATTTCAGGGAAAAACATTATTTTGAGAGATTCCTCCCCCCCCCCCCACAAAATGAGTAGTACCATGCAAGGTAAAGTGTTCTTGAAGGGCTACCGGTATAGCCTTACAGCTGGGAAAAGGGAAGGAGACAGGCTGCATAATAAGCTCAAACATGGCAATATATTTTGTATGTTATTGGTACTCGGTATGATGCCCAACACTGATTTCAGTCATGTTTAATGTAAGTCTTGGTGAGAAAAGAAAAAGTAAACTGAAATTAAAAAAAGACATATTTCTGCCAGTCATTGGACCCATCCTCTCTTACATTACACGAGTCATTTGCATTTGACAATCTAAAGAGAAATATTTTTCTAGTGACTAGAATATACACTTGTTGCCATATATATCAATCCTCTTTTTGTAACTCTAAATTAATCATAAACATGTACTCGTGATCATATCCATAGATCTATAGATTGTGTTGTATTAAATTTGTATTGTTTAATGTTGTTTAATCCTTGAATTGCTATAAAAACAAACGAAAGTTTGTGGATTTTGTCTTCATGTATGACTTAATAGGTGCATGTGCATTACTTTTGTAAAGAATCAGTATTATAAGAAACTTTTAGAAGAAAGGGGAATAGTCAATAGTACCACAACATTTGTATGCCTGTAGATACGTGAACATGTATAACATTAAACTAGTGACTTTAAGTTCTATCGGAAGTACCACATGTTTGTTTTTAACCATAGCTTTCAACACCACATACCCAAAAAGCTCTCAGACTCAGACTGGCCTCAAAGTTTAACCTCATAGTTTGAGCATCCCTGCTCAGGATACGAAGGTAAACTATAAATGTAATATGCAGAAGTGCAGTACAAGGAATGCCAAAATTTATACCAGTTCACATGGGAGACGTTAAACCACTTAAAACTACATTTACCTATGATGGCAAAAGTGAGATGCATTTAAATAACCTCCACATATACATGTATCTGTTTAGTATAACACAAAGATCATTGAGTGCGAGTAGAATATTTTCTGGCAATTTTTTTTCTTCACCCCACGGTATTGCATCTTGACGTTCATGTACACACACAGTGATGTTAAAGTTGTATTTTTTTCTAGGCTGTTTAAAGTTTTTATGATTGTCTCACCATGACTGTCTCAGGGTATCGTGACTGGGCTCAATCTCAAAACGTATATTTTTTTAATGGAAAGGAAGAGATGAAATAAGGTGAAATATATAACCCTGTGTGTAGCTTTCTAGGGCCTAATCATTGATTTTGGAGATTGTGCACACAGTGTGTGCGGGCAAGTATTGAAATCCAATGACAGGGTTGCTAGTATATCTCTTAAGCGCCTAGAGACATCGTAGATGTATTAAGCGCTATAAAGATAACGCACCTTGAAGAGTTATTATAAATTGAACACATTATCACTACGATATCATTGCATTTGTTGGGGTTTCATGAGCCTATGTTTGCATTGTGTATGGGCTATCTTTCAAGTTTTAAAGCTAAATTGATGGAGACGGTCAAGAGAATGATTGCTATATTTATCATGTATTTGAATTTTGTGCAATTCAGTGCTGGAATTTGGATTATGAAATATCTTCGATTTTACATGTACCATGTGTGTAATCTGCTTTAAGAAGAAATCTACTGGATGTAGGAAGTTGGTTTGTAGACAGTCCCATTTTTCTACAATAATAAGGCGATGTTTCTTTTCTTTTCTTTTTAAAACTGTTTTGAGCTCCATATGAGATTAAAAGAAAATGAAGTGTTAGAACAAATCTGTGTGATATATTATTTTGAGTCATTATGGCTGTAATATGTTCCAAGACATTTCATATATGCTTTTGAATATATACCGTACACAAAATAAAAATAAAACTGTTATTGAATAGTGGTTTCCTACTTTTGAGTTTAATTCCTTACAACAATGAACAAATGTGTGTCTTACATGTAGAATATTACATATGACTTGATAGTGCAGTAATTTGGAAAGTGATGTGCACCTTGTTTATCTGACATGCTTATGACAAGAGAGGGAGGGCTGCACTTTTGCTACATGTTTCATTTAACTATAATGTACATTTCATAAGTTTACATTTAAAATACCATTAAATATTGGTTGGAATGCTGAAGAGGAAGAATAAGAACAATATTTTTTAAATCCAAGTGTTTCTGTGGAACAGGTGTTCTTGACGTACAGTCAACTTATAAAATACAAAGTATAACTGCTCAAGGAATAATGAAAATTTTTGTTTGTACAAGTTGCTGCCAGGGCAGTTTTGTTTGTAACTTTCTTTGCTGTTTATTTGGAATAGTAATAGTTGCTTAGTACTAGATGTGAATTTTAACCTAGAAATGTTCAATAGGGTCATATATTACATATGTTAATACATGGATGACACTGCCTAGTCTTGCACATGAACTATTTAACTATTAAAAATATTGCCTAGGTCTCATTTTGGGGGAAAATAAAATTTACTATCACATTTTTGTATATAAGTCTTGTTTCAGTGTGTGATTATTTTGTCATCGCCCATAGCATTCGCTGTAAGTTGTATTTGAAATGAGATAGAAGAAAGAGATATCATTGTCATCATTTTATCAAGTATTTATTGTAAGAAATATAATAGATTTTACATCTTGAGCAAATATCATATCCATCAATGAAAAAGCAAATAGGGGCACTGGCATAATTTCTTTTTCCTTTATTAGAGCTATTTGATTTGATGGGGGAGGGGGAGGACACATGCCTCCCATGCCCATCCATCCCCAGATTGGAATGCATACAATTTCTCAAGAGGCTGGCCAAGTCCTAATATTACATCAATCTCTAGGAAGTTGGAATTCTCTAATTATCTAAATTGAATGTATGTCAAGGAGCATGGTACATATTTAGGTCATATGCATCAGTATAAAGGGGCAAAATACATTTAATGTTTAATTAACCGAAGCCAATAATGGTAATACTAACTACATGTATGTATTATAAGACACAGACTTTTGGAGTGTATGAAAGTATATGTCATCTCACAAAAATATGCCATTGTTAATACTAATAGATCATTCTACAAGTACAAATATGGGACCAAAATAAGGGTATACCCTTTAGCTGGGGAAAGTTTAACAGGAAGCCCAAAGGAGAGTTCAAGCCAGTGATCTTCCGACTTAAAATATTGTTTTGTCTTCACACTTTTACATATTAATCACTCAGAGTACCATTTCATCCACTGAGAGAGTCAGGAGGGCGTCGACTAATATCATTCAACACAGTCAACATCCTTCTGGCTCTCAACATATGATATAAGATCTATGAGGAATACAATGTGGGGCACTGTTTCATAAAAAAATTGATACCATATTAACAAGTTACAATAACTGTTATAAGCTACTGAAATTGTGGCATCTGTTTGGCTGAGAGTAAATTTATCATAGAAAATAAGAAATTTAGCATTTGTATTGATAACATGTTTTATGAAACCGGGGCCCAGGTGTTAAAATCACACCACACTGAGCTAAGCAAAGATTCTCTGTAAACAAAGGAATCAAATAGGCAATCCAGTCCTTTCTGCACCACCATCCCTGATCCATGTGCAATATAAAATAGGGTGAACATGAATGCATTTGAGCTGTTTAAGAATCTTTGCTATCCTCGATATCCTGTGAATACCAGGCAGACACAGTTGCCTCTTTGATGGTTAAAACTGGAGCAAATCTGCTTACTTCCTGAACACATATTTTATTTGAATTTGAAAAAAGGGTTTGTTTAAAATCCTCCATGCATTTCACCATCAAAATCTGATAGTTGAGAAACTTTGCCACTTACCAAAACTTACACAATGGAGGGTTTATTCCTCAGGGAAGTATGTTCATTAGGGAGATACTATTTAACTTTTTAAATAAGATATACATTGCATGTCTCTTTTAGTGGAGTGAGTTAAATACTGATGGAAATTCCGGACTCTCCGGAGCAAATGAATCCATCACTAATTGGTGTAGAGATTAAGAAAAAAAACAACTAAATAATCATTGACTCATGCTCTATGATCATATTGGGTATTGTTTACATGAAAAATAAATATATTTGTAAAGAGAAAATATCCCCACTATATAAATGAAAATAGAAGAAGCTGGCTATGCAGATGATTTTTGTATTTGTTTCTGTTTCATTGAGTTTGGACATATATGCAAAAGGATAATGTCAAGGAAGATGTCGCTCAATGAATCTCTGTCTTCATGATGATGCTGTAAAAACACAAAAAATGTAAATATTTCCTTGGATGACTCTGTTGCAAATATGACAATGATGAAAATTTAGATTTGGTGCCCATATTTTACTCAGTAAACAGACAAGAGTTTGGGCAGCAATGGCACTCTATCATTCCATAGGCTTTTCATTTGGCGTCCACTTTTCATAATCGTCCAATTCCTCATTGTCTGTTCTTGATGGTAACACATCACTGCCATCTTCTTTGTTTCCTCGTTCTTTTATTCTATACACCTCATCCACTTCAGCTGCACCCTCATCATCATCAAAGTACTTCTCTTCCTCGTCCCATCCACGAATCGCCAGCGAGTCGTACTCCGTGTTGTTGTCAACCGCTCCGTAGTCAAAGTCTTGATCGCCTCCACTGAGGAACCTCTCCCTCATTATGTTTTGGAACTCTTCTCGCAGGAGGTGCTTCTCTGCTTCCGTGGCAGGGGTTGGTTGGCGCCGAGTCATGGGTGCCACATCTTCATCCATCATTTCATCTTCCTCCTCCTCCTCCTCTTCCTCATCATTGGCATCTCTCCCGACTTTGTTTTGCAGGGGATGATCCATGCCCTTGGAATGACCTGAAAACAACAACCAAATAAAAGTGTGTATGAGAATGTTTAGATCCTGTATACAAAGCTCTAAATTAGATTGTCTTTCAAATGCCGTTGGAATTTAGCCTTGTCATGTTTTTGGCCTGCAAATGGGACATAGTACCTTTAAATGATCATGACAATCAAATAACAAACTTAAAAAACAACAACAACTACTATCACTTATTGCATTTATTAGGGACACAAAATTCTGCAAAGCTGTGAAGAAAGATATATGAAGTATGCTTCTTAAAGGCAATGTGATACTATGTAAATCTTGTTTGCCATCTCAACTTGATGGGTGTGATATGATTAATGCACTTGTTATTTTCCCACACAAATATACAATTAATATAACTCCACGCTTACTCCAGTCAAAATTATTGACCAGATTTGATGAAGACAAAGACATTACACTGGACAATAAATTATTCTTTATTCTTATTACTGAGAAATCAATCATCACCTGTTCCTTTAAAGGTAAAGACCAGTTATGGTCATGCGATTGCAATGTGAAAGAAACGTTGTGGAATCGATCAGAAAAGGTTGATCATCTAGCATCTAGCATCTGCAAGGTTCTGGAATCATCAAAATGATAAGAAATTTGGCCCATTCTTCGTAAAGTTACAAGCACTATACACAGAAAGATGTATATGGGACTATCCTATATCTCTCATAGCCCATGAGAGAAACAAATTTACCAAATATATTAATTAGTAGGCGGTTTCCCGGCAAATTTTTTATCATCATGTATCAGTCAAAACATATTGTTTCACATGATTGGTAATGAGAGCTTCCATTTCATTTTTTGAAATTGGGGCATTTCCAATACTGGTCTTTACCTTTAACATCTGCCTTCTTCTCCTCCTTCTCGTCCTTGTCTTCGTCCTCTTCTTCTTCTTCTTCTTCTTCTTCTTCTTCTTCTTCTTTTGCCCCTTCCTCTTGATCCTGTTGTCTCTTGTAAAACTTTTTTATTTCCTGATCCTGCAGGAATGACATGAGGATCGTTGAAAACTTCAAGTCTGTCTGGTCAATCTTAGTCCTAGTCTCCAAACGCTCTTCATCCGTCAGATACTGTCCAATAAGCTGTTCGTACATGAGAGGATCTCTGGCTCTCATCTCGTCATCACTTAAATAACTCCCCTCCTTCTCCAATTTCTTGAGCGCTTCATAACGTCGGTTCTTCACGACCACAGACATTTTTCCAGCACCGAGTCTCCTCTTAGCTTCCTTGAGGTAAAACGATACCTCATACACATCAGAGACAGGGTTGAAACAAATGAGGTCGTCTTCACATAGGTATGGGTGGAAATTTTCAATGAATACTGCAGGAGAATGGTGAAACTGTTCAGAGAGGATTTTGATTCTTTCCCTTGTTGATAGTTCCACATCATCTCGTTGCTGGTTCTTGATGCGGGCATTGCTTAGTGCAATGTTCTCAAACATTCGAAGTTGGGCATTCAGCAGTTCATCATCATTTGGGTGGTCTGAGGTGTCTGGTTTAGGAGCTGTTATTGCTTCCATACTTTCTGGAACTTGGTTACTTTCCATACTGGAGACTGCATTTACCGGTATGTTTCCCTTTGATGTAGAAAATGACACAAAACATTTATTATAACATAAGTAATACAATAAATTAAAATGAAGATCTTTATCGTAATTACATACCATGAGTCATGAGCAGTAACAGTACCTATGCACAAATAGGTGTGGATGAGTACTAATATTTACGTATCAATCAAAAGTACACTCATACTAGGGATTGAAAGTCTGCACTGTACAGTCTGTACATGGAGGCTTTAGTGTTAAAGGTAATACAAAGTTTTGGGAAATATTGAAAATTGGCTGGATAGTGATTCTTCACAATTTTGATATATTTTTGATGCCGGGCAGGTCCAAGCTATTTGCTTTGTGACGTACGGGACATTCAGAGACTTTAAACAAGAAATAACAATGGATGACATTATTTATATGACTATCTTTTGGTATGAGTCTGTGGCTATTATGGGCTACATGTAGTTCATTTGTGGAAAGTTTTAGTTCTGACCAATTCATAAATTAATTTTTAATGTAATTAATGTGCTGCGTGACGTACGGGACCAGAGAATTTCTGACTTTTTCAAAAATAAGTTCATCATAAAAGTTCTCTGAATTTATTAAGTTATGAGATTTATGGTAATGATATCTTAATTCATTATGGAATCAAGCATTAATCACAACTATTACCATATTTTTCTGACCTTTCGTTATTATGTAATATACCAAAACATAAATGTGTGCATGTGACGTACGGGACACGTGACGTACGGGACAACTTTTCCCTATGGGAAAATGCATTGAAATGGAGAATTTTCGTCAAAATTTGTTAAATGTGAACAATTTTAACTTAAATCAGTGACAATTAGAGTGTTTTAGAACCCAATTAGATCCTCTAACCATCATTTAATATCATCTGTGAGGTAAATCAATACAAATATTACTTTAACAAAGAAAACAAATTGAATTAATATTCATACACACTATATTACCATTTTTATTCCATTTACCCATCTATCATGTGCAGTCATGCTTCTTTTCTCATTTCTTTTATCCATTACATTCAACATTGCAAAATGTTTTTAAACAATAATTAATGAAAAAGATGACTTGAACTTGAATTTTTTTATTCAAACTTGTTTGAAACACAGGGGCACACTCGGCACATCATATTTTGTCAAAGAACATTTCTCTTGTTCTAAGTATTTGTGAACAAAGATACATTAAAAATATGAAGTCTTTTCTTCATAGCTTGTTTGAATTATTTGATAGTCATATCATAGAATTTTGAAGGAATTCAAAGATAATGCTGGACATATTGTCTTTTTTATATCCTTTTATCACAGATTAGAACATGAATATGTTGCTGTCATATATTCAAGAATTTTGATGTACATTAATGTAGCCTACATGTTTGTGAAAGATGAATACAAAAATATAAATCTTGAATGTATTTCGTATTGATTAAAACATCTTATTAACACCACCAGATATAAGAAATTAAAACCCTAAAGGTTTGTGTGACCTTTTCCACAATTCAAAAGATTAAAGCAAAATCAACAAAAATGCATGAGTGTAAAAGTGATAAAAATCTTAAGTGGGTGAGAGTGTGAAATACTCAAAAAGGCTATCCTTCCTTAAAAGTTATGATTTAGTTTTTAGGAGATCAGAATTCCCGAGCTGGCTCCATAACATGTACAGTGCATGCTGTAATCCTTTACCATCATATAAAAATAGAATATAAAAAAACCTCACATGGAGAGCTTGATAGCATACATGTGCTATTCTTACCTGCAGCATCTATGAGTTGTAAAAGCCAGCTTCTGGTGCATCCACTACCATATAATTTCATTAGACTCATTCCAGGAACTAGTACACTATTATGATTTACGTATTTAGCATCCTGCCAATGTTGGAGACATCAACTGGCAAAATACCAAAGTTGATAATACCAGGGGTCTGGCTTGAAGACTAATTACATTAACAACAATTACATAAAACAACAACAAAAGTACAAGCAAGTAAATTCCTAGAAGGGATCCAGTTGTAATGTTCATATATCCCTGTATACAACAAGTTTCCTAACACAGTATATATTCTCCTTTTGGTCATTTCCTTTTTCACATCTCGCATTGGTTTTATATGGGGTTGTCCCGTACGTCACACACTTGTCCCATATGTCACATTTCTTAATTTGATTATGTAATCAACACAGAATTTTCGAAATTTTTGTTAAACCTATTTTTTGTTGGGTATTCATCTAAATTAGAACTTCCTAGAATATCTTTAAAAAAAAAAATTATTTTCATAATTAAAATTAAACAAATTATGATCAAATTGTGACGTACGGGACATCACACTTTGGAACCTACCTCATTTGCATAATTAATTAATTTTGAAAGTTTTTGTATTTTTTTCCTATTTTCTAGCATGATGGTCTTCATGTCCTGAGATATTTAATTTTAAACAAATAATTCAAATGAGATACAAAAATAAAAATGTAATGTCCCGTACGTCACGCTAATTAATACAAATCGAAGTTCGTGACCTTGGCACTCTTCGTATTTTGATAATTTTTTTAATTTTTTATCAGATTCATAAAATTCAGTTTCAGCTTTAAAATGAGGTATAGTTTGTTAAATATATATAAAGATGAAATTTGACCCCCAGAGGGGACAATAGCTTGGACCTGCCCTGCCCCTGTGGATGTATTATAAGCACTAGAAAATTTAGCCCCTAAAATAATTCTGCTTTCGAGAAAAATGGTATATAAAAATTTCAAATAGAGCCTACGGCCATACAATGGTAGCTGCGACCATGACAATTTCAGAATATGTAGTTGTGATACATACTTTTCAGAAGGGAATAGCCAATCGGTCTATTTTAGTCAAGAAACATTGTTTTATAGCTTAATTAATATCTTGACCTTAAGAGGGAGCTATACAACATAAAGAGTTTATTATTCACAATTTCATAACTTTAGACTCAATTTCATAACGAGGATCGGAGACATTACGGTAAATAACTTCACACAGGCGCGAGCCCGCCCGTAACCCACCATCGGTATATAGTCTACTTGTAATGTGCAGCAGTTTGCTGTGAAACCTGTGAAAAAGTAAATAGACCTATTAGTATTCAACGTTTATCCGAAAAATACTCCAAAAATAACAAGAAAATTGACACGAAACAGGTAATAAACATAACGACTTTTAACTCATGATCTTTATTTGGACATTTAATGAATATTTACTTCATTTTGGTATGTTTCAGTAGGGTATCTCCACGCCAGAGTTACGGGTCAAATTTTGGATAGGTTTCTGAACAAGCGCCGAATTCGAATTCGTGCATCATAAACAAGCGCAAGCGATGCCCAAATAGTTGGACACAATTATGAGTACGTGGGACAGCACAAAAGGTTAGTACTTAAAATGCATACAAATAACACATTCAAATGGACATAAACTATGACATTCTTCCTATATTTTTAATACCACTAACCTCATCTCTCATTTAAAAGACATTAGAGCACAGATACACGGGCGCAGAGATTCACTTCGCCGTCGGAAACGAGTCGTTGTCGATGAGACCTCTTGAAAAGGTGGATGATGTCTAAGATGATGTACTTTTACGTTTGAACGGATATGCCTAAGCCTAATACATGTACGTACCATACCACCAGGGGCGGCGGCGGCGGTGGGGAGGGGAAGGGGAGGGGGAGGGGGGAGGGGGGGGGGGAGGGGGAGGGGGGGGGGGAAACCAACAAATAAGGACCCTTTCTGGAGGGAAAAGGGCATCTTGAAAGGGATACCTCAGGCTCAAGCGAAAATAAGCAATTTTTTAGACATTGGTATTGTGATTATATTATCATGGATGATTTAATTCAATTATGTTTGTATCGGGCATCATACTTTGCAGTTGGGTGTGATATGGCAGGCGCGGATCCAGGATTTTCCATAATAGGGGGGGGGGGGGGGGGGGGGGGGGGCGGAAATTTGAACATTGCGCAGACCGTTTTTTCAACTCGACGTACCAATACTGACAAGGTCATATTAGAAGCACCATACCAGTACAATTTTTTGATTGGGGGGGGGGGGGGGGGGAGGGCTATAGCCTCTTGCCCGAAAAGTAATTTTCTGGTTGCACAATTCGGCTCATGAGCGATCGAGCGAAAATTTGAGCATATGTATTCTGTGAAAGTGTTATTTCCCAGATAGCAAAATATATGGGGCCCATCTGGGTTTTGTATGGGCTGACTAAAACCCACGTGGCCCATACAAAAACCAGATGTATACCAGATGGGCCTTCCCACCCAGAACCCACACATATGGGCCCCATGTGGGCCCCATGTGGGTTTTTGTTTGTGAAAATCGCACGTCGAACATCAGCTGGGCCCAGCTAAAAACCAGATGTATACCAGATGGCCCTTCCCACCAAGAACCCACAAGTACCAACACATATGGGCCCCATATGGGCCCCATGTGGGTTTTTGGTGGTGATAATCGCACGTCGAAGATTGTCTTCACCCATATGGGCCTTCCCACAAAGAACCCACAGGTATACGGAGCCCACGTGGCCCATTTAAAAACCAGATGTATACCAGATGGGCCTTCCCATCCAGAACCCACAAGTACCAACACATATAGGCCCCATATGAGCCCCATGTGGGTTTTTGGTGGTGATAATTGCACGTCGAAGATTGTCTTCACCCAGGTGAAAACCAGATGTATATCAGATGGGCCTTCCCACCAAGAACCCACAGGTATACGGAGCCCACGTGGCCCATATAAAAACCAGATGTATACCAGATGGGCCTTCCCATCCAGAACCCACAAGTACCAACACATATAGGGCCCATATGGGCTCCATGTGGGTTTTTAGTGGTGAAAATCGCACGTCGAACATTGTCTTCGCCCAGCTGAAAACCAGATGTATACCAGATGGGCCTTCCCACCCAAAACCCACAAATATATCCTATCATTTGCATAATGAGTATGGGGTGCGTGCACATCTATGTTTTTTTTTAGCAATTTATCTAAATTTACAGGATATTTCTTAATTACTGATGATTTAGTTATTTGCAATTCATTTCGAAAATACTACAAAATGTAAATTGCCAATTATTAGGAAATTTCACTACTTTGTTTAAATTACATTTAATTAAACATGAATTAGAAAAAAACACTAACTATAATCTAAAACAGATTCAATAAAATACAAGTATATGGAAATGTCTTATCACAGCAAATTAACCAAGTCTTCTTAACACCAATGCCTTTACATTGGAAATGTTAGACGATGTGTTGTTGCCATTGACGAAATTAATTAGTACAAGTGCTACATAACCTACTAATTATGTATGCTAATTGGAGCTTTCAATCAGTGGTTGAAAGTTGTGCCAAATGGTACGACTGGTCCAGTTAAACCCAACTGGTAACCCTGGAAATTGAAATGGGATAAATGAATTCAACTGGGAAAAATAGGAACCCATTTAAACAATATGAAGCCCATTTAAAACCACATTGGCCCATATGGGACCAGATCAAACCCACTTGGCCCATATGGATCCCATATAAAAACCCACTTATAGCCCATATGGGGCCCATATAGAACCCACTTGACCCATATATAGAATGTGGTAGGTCCCACATAAAACCCACATATGGCCCATCTGGTGCCCAATAGGCTAGGTAACCCTTGTGTATATTGATGGGCCAATTGTGGGGTACATCTGGGTTTCACGTGGGCCCATCTGGGCCAAGTGGGTACAATCTGGGCCGCCCATCTGGGGCCCTTCTATAACCCGGGTGCAGATTGCTGGGCCCCACATGGGGCCTATGTGGGACCCATCTGGGCCAAATGGGCCAAGTGGGCCAGCCCAGTTGTAACCAGATAAAACCCAGATGGGCCCCACAACATTTTGCTATCTGGGTTATCACTAAAATAAATGAGAAAAGATATCAAAAATTCATATTCGGGCAGCTCGCTGTTGCACCCCTCCCCCCCCCCCCCCATTACGCGAGAAGTGCAGAAGTTTTGATGTTTCATGAAATTATTAGATAAAGAAGAGGATTCGTTGTATCATTCTCGACTCTTAATCCTTGTTTGAATTCAGCCCCCCCCCCTTCCGCGCGTAGCGTGGAAGCTTTGACCTTTCATTAATTATTAGAGAAAGAAGACGATTTTTTGGTACCATTCTCGACTCTTATTCCTTGTCTGAATTACGTTCCCCCCCCTCCCCTCCCGCGCGAAGCGCGGAAACTTTGACCTTTCATAGTTTAATGAAATTATAAGAGAAAGAAGATGATTCGTTGTTCCATTCTTGACTCTGAATTCAGTTTCCCCCCTCCCGCGCAGACGCTTAACGTTTCATTAAATTATTAGAGAAAGAAGAGTATTCGTTGTACCATTCTTGAATCTTAATCCTTGTTCGAATGCAGTTTCCCCCCTCCCGCGCGAAGCGCGTGGAAGCTTTGATGTTTCATTAAATTATTAGAGAAAGAAGACGATTTTTTTGTACCATTCTCGACTCTTATTCCTTGTCTGAATTCAGTCACCCCCCCCCCTCCCGCGCAAAGCGCGGAAACTTTGACCTTTCATAGTTTAATGAAATTATTAGAGAAACAAGATGATTCGTTGTTCCATTCTCGACTCTGAATTCAGTTTCCCCCCTCCCGCGCAAACGTTAACGTTTCTTTTAATTATTAGAGAAAGAAGGCGTTTCGTTATACCATTCTCAACTCTTAATCTTTGTTTGAATGCAGTTTTCCCCCTCCCGCGCGAAGCGCGTGGAAGCTTTGATGTTTCATTAAATTATTAGAGAAATAAGAGGATTCGTTGTTCTATTTTCGACCCGTAATCCTTGTCTGAAGTCAGTTTTCTATCGCCCGCGCGAAGCGCGGAAGCTTAGACGTTTCATTAAATTATTAGAAAAAGAAGACGATTCGTTGTATCATTCTCGACTCTTAATCCTTGCCTGAATTTAGTTGCGGCCCCCCTCTCGAGCGAAGCGCGGAAGCTTTGACATTTCATTTAATTATTAGAGAAAGAAGACGATTCGTTGTACCGTTCTAGACTTGTCAGAATTTTCAAAAATGTTTCCTTGTCTGCTCTGTTTTCGTCCTACATGTATGTCCTCTTACTGCCCCTACCACCCTTGGCTACGCGCCTGCTTTACAGGGAAAATGAAACAATCATGATTGTGTGATAGCACACAATTAGGTTAGTAGAAATGAAAGGGGAAAAAAGAAAGATCTATTACACCAACCATGGATAAATCACGGCCGGGAGCGTCATATCATAGTTTTGTGTTATCGGGCGAGGCAGGCGCGGATCCAGGATTTCTTAGGGGGCCCAAATTTGAAATTATGCGAGCCAAATATTGGTACGTAATGGTGACCAACAGTGACGTAATGCCGGGGGGGGGGGGGTCGGTGTAGGGAGGGGCGAGTTTTCCCCACCCTCCTCCACGAAACGCGGAAGCTTTGACGTTTCATTAAATTATTAGAAAAAGAAGACGATTCGTTGTACCGTTCTCGACTCTTAATCCTCGTCTGAATTTAGTTTTTCCCCTTCCGCGCGAATTTTACGTTTTATTAAATTATTAGAGAAAGAAGACGATTCATTGGAGAGTTCTCGACTCTTAATCCTCGTCTGAATTTAGTTTTTCCCCTTCCGCGCGAATTTTACGTTTTATTAAATTATTAGAGAAAGAAGACGATTTGTTGTAGAGTTCTCGACTCTTAATCCTCGTCTGAATTCAGGTTCCCCCTTCCCGAGCGAAGCGCGGAAGCTTTTCATTAAATCATTACAGAAAGAAGACGATTCGTTGTACCGTTCTCGACTCATAATCCTCGTCTAAATTTAGTCTCCCCCTCCCCCTCCTGCGCGAAGCGCGTAAGCTTTGTCGTTTCATTAAACTATTAAAGAAAGAAGACGATTTGTTGTACCGTTCTCGGCTCTTTATCCTCGTCTGAATTTAGTTCCCCCCTCCCCCGAGCGAAGCGCGGAAGCTTTTACGTTTCATTAAATCATCAGAGAAATAAGACGACTCGTACCGTTCTTGACTCTTAATCCTCGTCTAAATTCAGTCCCCCCTCCCCTTCCTGCGCGAAGCGCGGAAGCTTTGACGTTTCATTAAACTATTAAAGAAAGAATACGATTCGTTGTAGAGTTCTCGACTCTTAATCCTCGTCTGAATTCAGGTCCCCCCCCTCCCGCGCGAAGCGCGGAAGCTTTTAAGTTTCATAAGATTATGAGAGAAAGAAGACGATTCGTTGTAGAGTTCTCGACTCTTAATCCTTGTCTGAATTCAGATTTCCCCCTCCCGCGCGAAGCGCGGAAGCTTTTACGTTTCATTAAATCATCAGAGAAATAAGACGACTCGTACCGTTCTTGACTCTTAATCCTCGTCTAAATTCAGTCCCCCCTCCCCCTCCTGCGCGAAGCACGGAAGCTTTGAAGTTTCATTAAACTATTAAAGAAAGAATACGATTCGTTGTAGAGTTCTCGACTCTTAATCCTCGTCTGAATTCAGGCCCCGCCCTCCTGCGCTAAGCGCGGAAGCTTTTCATTAAATCATTACAGAAAGAAGACGATTCGTTGTACCGTTCTCGACTCTTAATCCTCGCCTGAATTCA